GCACCCAGAGATTTAGTTTGGGTTTATATTTCTTTCTGTTAATTATTCTCATCTTGAACAGGACAAAGTGTCCAAACACAGAAAACTCCTGTTGATACTCACTGTTATAAAGATGGCGTTTATTAAAGAGGAGAGTGAAGACGTGAAGATTGAAGAAGCATTCAGAGTCAAACAAGAAGATACTGAGGAACAAACAGGTTGGTTTTCTTTCTCAAAGCTGAACTCTTCTCATTTGATCTATACTGAAATGTCCATCTCTACAGAAATGAGTGATATCTCTTGAAGAGTTTCGTAATTAAAGGTGGGGTAAGTGATTTCTGATAGCCAATGTTGACATTTGAAATCACCAAAACAAACACGCCCCTATTTTGATAGCTCCGCCCCACACATACGTACACAACCCAGGCAACGATTAGTTCTGTGAAACAAAGCAAAACTGCTGCTGAATTCTATTCATGACGTATTGACACAAATTTCAAATAATTTTCATTGGTCGCTTTGTTGCGTCCAGTGTACTAGACAGACTTTAGCTGTTGCGGCGCAGACACGGTGTTACTCGCCTATCGAGAAGAAACAAAACAACCTCGGCGTCCGATCGCAGGCCTCCGCTCCTTGAGTTCTCTCCAGCGCTGGAAAGCTGGTCCGATATTTACACTTCTTCCCCTAAGCCTTCTTTTGTTCCGCAGACCTTTTCCTCTTTTGTTTTTTATCCGCCATCTCTATCTTTCTGTCGCTCAACTCGCTAATGTCCGTCCTGTGCACTGAACGCTCTCTCCTCCACATCACAAGTAGACACGCCCCTTACTGCTGATTGGCTACAAGTTTGTTTTGTTATTCGACCCGAATCAGTTTTCTATAGTGTTTTTGAAAAATCGCTTACCCCGCCTTTAAAGCAGTTTTTATTTGACATGGAGCGGGTCGCCTATGACCAGACAAACAGGCCACTAATACAGAAGTAGCCTCACGCACACTCAAACCATTAATATCTATCACTTCATAACAAAAAGATTTATTTTGCATAACGCAAACGTTGAAATGTGAGTGATCACCTTTGCATTTGGCTACTGCATGCTGAAGCAGTTCCGGGAGGATGCCTTATCCTTACGCAAAGTTCGGGCTTGCGTCCTCGGTAGTTCAGACTTAGCAAGTTCGACTCGGGAGTGTGAACTCCTGAGGACGGGAGGACGCAAGACCGGTAATCCTGCAAATGGAACAGCAGAGTACTTGATAACGTCAGTCCGCTGGCCTTGACTACTCTGGTTATCTTCACTGTAAACACCACTGCCTCTTTTCGTTTTCATTTAAAAATATAAAACAGGCAATATGTCCACATAGCCTATACGCCGATTATCTTCACTGTATGCATAATAAAATAAAATAGCAAAACACTATTGTTAAATACTTTTAATGAACAATAATAGCCATTGTAAGTAGGCTATAAAATATAAGAGACTTGTGTAATAGGAAATAGACAAAAGCAAACAATTCAGTCAAATGTATGCTACAAAGTCAGCACTGTACTACGATTAAGTTAAATAAATATATAAATATGAAACATAACTTTGTGCTCAGTCAAAAAGATATGACCTGGAACAAATAATAGATTCATGAGACCAAAGATTACCTGTTAGATATAGCCTACCCAAAACAAATTTTATCTCTTGTTTAGTCACTAGTTGCGTCCCAAATGACGCACTATGCACTTGCTTCGTTTCTGAATGAATCAGCCGTTTGAACGAATCGATTGAATGAATGACTAAAAGACTCACTTATTAAGACAGGGATTTGCCACCACCTATTGGCGCTTTTTGTTTTATATTTAGAGTATCGTTTCTTTTTAAAAAATAATTTAATATTTCACTATTTATTTGTATTTTTGTATGTTGAAGTAAAATTTTCTTTCTAAAGCTATTAAATGTGCACATTATGTAATTAACTAGATTTTTTTTTTAATTTAATCACTTGTCAGCCCGATTTAAAATATAAAAAATACTTAAATGTGTGTATAGAAAACAGCTGAGTGTTGTGACGATAGAGTCAACAATAGACAGATATCACCTGTGGCTGATGCCTTTGATGATAGCAAGATAATAATAATAATTTTATAATTTATGCATTTAGCAGACGCTTTTATCCAAAAAATCACCAGATGACTCGAATAGCTCTATTTGGGGAAAAAAATGTTTTTAATGATTAGGGTGATTTTGTAGGTGAGTAAATCAGCATAGAAATTAAACAAATTACAAGCATAGATAAATATAATCGAACAAAGATACAAATTAATTAAACAGTGCTTTATATTTTTCAGGTAAGCCTAAGTCTAACAGTATTCTGGTACAGAAATTGAATAATCAAATGTAAAATAACACCGCATAGTCTTCACTGTATAAATCTGGGTTAAAGTTACAAAAGTGATTTTTCTCTGTGGTTTGTTGTTTGATTAACATTCATGACACATAAAGCAACAGGAACATTAAACTGCTGTGAACCAATATACACATCAATTTTCTTTCTCAATTGTTTACCTTTCCCTAAGCAACAAGGATACTTGCAGAGACTTGCATTTTGACATAATTTTGCACGTATGTGTCATTTCGGACACAAATAGATACGGACGAGAATGGAATTTAGTGTTCACGTGCATCTGCGTGGCTCTCACCATGTCTACAACGGACCACAAAGTACTACAGAACCCATTATAATCAGTGATGCTGTCTACACTGGATGCGGCGCGACGCAACACGACAAATCCACGACTGTAAACTGATGACTTGTTCTATTTATGACGTATTGACACACGGTTCAAATGATCTGCAAAGGTCATTTTGTCACGTCCAGTGTAGACAGACTTCAGCTGTTGCGGCGCGACACGTCTGTGTGTGTGAGCAAAGAAAACGATCAGTATAAATATAACGATCAGTATACTAAACACCGCACATCCTGCTATGTGACTATCGCGGATGCGCACATCGCGATTATCGATGCTGAAACGATATACCGTGCAGCCCTACTAGTTTTTACAGTGTTATAAATAATCACACACGATTACGTTGATCTTATGAATGCAAGTGGCTTTCAAATGAGTCATTGCTGAAAAAGTGGATTTTTGTTGTTTAGCGCGTGGACTTTTTGGTTGGTATTCTGTCTCTATACGTTAAAATAAACCTACCATAAAAATTACAAACCCTTAATTTCGTTGCAAGTGGGCAAACTTACAAAATCAGCAGGGGATCAAATAAATATTTTCCCCACTGTACATTTGTATGTTTTGATGTCTATTGTTTTGTGCATTTATACTGGGGTTAACTTCTACTGTTTTTTCACCGTAGACCTAATGGCACTGAACGAAGACAAGAAAGTACTGAATGAAACTGAAGAGAACGATCACGATTTCAGAACTGGAGAAAAATCTCTTTGCTGCTCACAGTCTGAAAAGACTTCCACACCAGAAGAAGCTCAAAAGACAGTAAATACAAGTAATTTCACTTGCGTTGAGTGTGGAAAGGGTTTCCGATTTAAAGGAAGCCTTAAAAGGCACATGATGATTCACACTGGAGAGAAGCCTTTCACGTGCCTTCAGTGTGGAAAGAGGTTCAGTATACAGCAAAACCTTACTTACCACCTGAGAGTACACACTGGAGAGAGACCTTTCACCTGCAAACAGTGTGGATCGAGTTTCATTCAAAAAGTATGCCTTAACAGGCACATGAGAGTTCACACCGGAGAAAAACCATTCGCATGCCAACAGTGTGGAGAGCGTTTCACTCAACCTGGAAACCTTAAAATCCACATGAGACTTCACACCGGAGAGAAACCTTACACATGTCCTCAGTGTGGAAAGAGCTTTGAGCAAAATGGAAACCTCACAGTCCACATCAGAATTCACACTGGAGAAAAGCCTTACACATGCTCTCAGTGTGGCAAGAGTTTCGCTCAAAAAGGAGTTTGTAACCGGCACATGAGTTCACACTGGAGAGAATCCATTCACAAGCTCTCACTGTGGAAAGTGTATTGATCAACATGGAAACCTTAGCGTCCGCATGAAAACTCACACTGGAGAAAACCGATAATTCACACGCCTGCCAACAGTGCAGAAAACGTTTCAAGCAAGAAGCAAACCTTAAAGAAACCACGTGAAGATTGACTCAAGAGGGAATGGTTTTAAATGTCAGCAGTGAGAATTTTACAGACGGGGAACAGCTGGGAATAATGCAGAGAGAAGGCTTCTAAAAACAAAGCAAATCTTGAGTTTTACAAAAATAAGCTGGATTAGAGGTGGGCGATCTTCGCAAAATATCATTTGATTTTATCACACAAAATCACGATCTTCCCAATTTTGATACGTACTATCGAGAATATCCAAGCCTATGATTTATCTGTTTGAACAATTTAAAATATTATTGCATTAAACAACCAAAATGGTCACTGCATGAATTATTGCATGAATGGTCACGGAATGAATCAAATATATATTAATTCCTATTAAAGATATAAAGTAGTGTCAAGCGATTAATCGCATCCAAAATAAAAGTTTTTGTTTACATAATATATGTGTGTGTGTGATGTCTGTGTATATTTATTATGTATAAACACACACACACACATTTTCAAAATATTTACATGTATATATTTATATTCATATAATTTATATTATATATAAATATATTTAATATAAACATAACTTATTTTTCTGAAATATATAAATGCATGTGTGAATTTATATATACATAAATATACACAGTACACACATTATGTAAACAAAAACTTATTTTGGATGCGATTAATCGGTTGACAGCACTAATATAAAGTGATTCAGTCAAGAGCATTCTTTTGTTGCTTGATTAACGTTAGGAAGACAGCCGCATTAGGCTTACAACCGGAATGCATGAATCTAACACACTGACATGCATCCCATTTCTTTCCCAATTTTTTATGTTCACTTAAAGGCACAATATATAAGTTTTCACTACTAGAGGGCACGTATTCAAAATAAACAAAGATACAAAGGCGTAGTTTGATGACACGTGACTGAGTGTGGAATCATGGGAGTTGTGGTCTTCATCCCCACAGCAGATGCAATCTGACGGGACTCGGGCAGAAATCATGTTCATGGATGAGCTAATGATTTATTAACGTAGTAGAATGAAGCAGGGTGAGGCTGAAAGCCGTCGAAGCGAAACGAGGCGCTGAACGAGCGCGACACACGGCTCGAAAGCAGCGGAGCTTTTATTATGCCACAGTCGAGCGCTTCCGCTGCTTCCGGTCGTGTGTATGTGGGGTAAAGCATTGGAGCTTTTATTATGCCACAGTCGAGCGCTTCCGCTGCTTCCGGTCGTGTGTATGTGGGGTAAAGCATTGGAGCTTTTATTATGCCACAGTCGAGCGCTTCCGCTGCTTCCGGTCGTGTGTATGTGGGGTAAAGCATTGGAGCTTTTATTATGCCACAGGCGAGTGCTTTCGCTGCTTCCGGTCGTGAGTATGTGGGGTAAAGCAGCGCTGTGTTATCATACTAGATACGTTTAGTTATGTTATAATGCTACTCTGTGCGGTCGTCACCTGTCTAATAAAACGCACATCATATTAAAGCGTCTTTAGTGTTTCCATGTTTTCTACAAAACAAAACCCCCGAAAATCGTGGGTGTATGACGTCATTGGCAGGCGACACAATGACCAGGTACGAGCCACTATTTAAAGTTGCCATTTCTTTGGATTTAAACATTCTTTGAAACATTTGGGATAATGCAAGTACACAAGTTAGCAAAATATATAACACTCCCACATGAAAAAATACTACAGTAATTTATAGTAAATACTATAGTGTTTTTGAACCATACTGTATATATTATAGCATTTACAACACTGTTAATGAATGCTACAGCATACTGTATAGTGAACTGATAAACTGTAATAAATACTGTAGGCTACTTTAGTTTTTAATACAGTAAACTGTAGTGTATTGTAGTATAATATACCCTATAGTTGTAGAAAACTAAGGTCAGTATTGGGCGAAATAATTTGTTTATATTACTATAGCAACTATAGAATTAACACAACAAATTAATTCAAGTACTTTACTATAGTATGGTTAAAAAACACTAGTGTTTACAATAAATTACTATAGTATTTTTTTCATGTGGGCTGTTCTAGTGATTTTTTTTGGATATTTTAATAAATAAAATCTTACATATTGTGCATTTAAGACTTAACTGACGGTCTTTATGTAAATACTCGCAAAGACAGACATTTGGACATATTTTTGTGTATATTTGACCATTTATGCGCACATTCAGCTCTAGTTTAACATTATTATGAGGACATTCGTGATCACAATCTCTACGATTCGCTTGAAAAGTAGACTGTAGACGTCTTCATGATCGATATGTATATGATATAAAATCGTCAGATCGCCCACCCCTAAGCTGGATGATGATACTCAGCTCTTCTTCATTCTCTTGGGAGAAAAAAAAGAAGTTGGAAATACCAATCATTTCTTTTATATCAAATAGTCTATATACCTTTGTCATTTGAAATCCGAAATCTTTAAGATTTGACCTCTGAAACTGCTTATTCAGTTAATATATGTTAGAAAACACTCTCTGTCTTTTTAAGAAATTGTTCCAGATATGCCTTACCCCTCCTTTTCTTCTCTCCTTCTCTCACTCGTTCCCTATACAGCATTCTCTCTCTGAATCCCCCCTCCTCTATCTGTTTCTCTCTCTCTCGCTTGTATTAGGTTTTAAATATCTCTTACTCATATTCGAGGTATGCATGCGCACATGTATACATTAGTTTTTCTTGGTTTAAATGCCCAAATAAGGAAATGAATGCTAGGACTATAAGGGTAAAGGAGTTTGTGAGGAACTCTGAAGAGAGTGCCTCATCCTTCGCAAAAGTCTATTCCTAATAAGTCCATGTTTTTCTGTACATGTGGCCATTTTATATAAACA